AGGAGATAGATTCAGCCTGGAACTGGTGGAGTTGGAGTACGAAAGAGATGCAAATATTAAATAGGATAGGGCTAAGGGTAAGGACCTTTGAGCTCGTCTTGAATCACGAAGTAGAGTTAGCGGTAAGCGAGTAGAAAGTAGACGGGCTAGGTCATTATATAGAGCAGGCCTGGGCAAAGTGCGCTCTCTGAACTCACCTAGCTCCCAACCCCAATTAGGTCAATGACCATAAAAAAGCGGGTCCTATTGTATTGTACAGGTAATTGGAGTGACGAGGGCCAATGCTTGGCTCAGAGTGGGAGTATCGTTATGTCAGTCAACGCTCAAAAAATTTAATGTTTTAGAAAAAAAGATGCATGTTTTTCTTGGTGTATTTTGCATTGATAAAAATATCAATTGATCCTTTTTTTTTCTACATCAACTTGTGCATCAAATTTCGTTTAATAAATCACTCCAAATTGATTATTTCGGCTACAGATTAATTGGAAAAGAGTGGTGCAAATTTTTAAACTTTTGTTAACATTTTTGAACATTCCCTAAGCAGTAATTGAAAAAATTTAATTCCGTTTTCCGCATTTCAGGAAGTAATTATTCAGTATGTAACAGTCGTACTTAAATTTTAAAGATTTTTCACCTTAAAAAAGCAAGGAAACAAGAAATCTGAATTCCATCATTTCATGTCTTGTTGACTTTTTATCGTTATATCGATCTCACTGTTAAATCTCTGAAAGTTCATCCATTTCTAGTTGAACATGAAAATGGGAATACTTTAACAGTATTATAAGCTGTCGACAATTTTTTATTTTTATATGAAATTATGAAATGTCAAGTTTATACGTCGAAATTTCCCGTGGTTTCCGTTAACAAGAGTGTGCACAACTTATAAGTTGAACTTTAAATTCATAATTAATTGATTCATTTTTAGGGAACTGATAACTCATATTTTTTTCAATTTAGAATAAAATAATTATTCAATATTAAGGTGGTTAAGGAATAATAAATTTCTGGCACCACGATATTTTAACAATTACACCTGGTACTAAAAATATGTAACTAAAAATTTTTCCAGATGAATTGGTCAAAATTTGGTGGAAGTTTTCGGTGGTAAGGCGTCTTAAATTTTAAGGAATAGAGCGCGGCGCTCTCTATCTAACTGCACCCTTTTTCGTGCATGCTATTACCCCCACTCTGACTACACTGGGCCTCACGCAGTTGGGGTATTGTAATCCGAGCAATGGGTCTAATAGGGTTTTATGGCCGTGGCTCCCGAGGTTTCGACTTTGCCCATGCCTGATATAGAGTGAGGGGGTTGACATTAGCTCCTTTTAGGTTGATGAAGACACATGTAGTGAAATGGTTGGAGGCGAAGCCTCTGAGGATTTCAGTGCTTAAGTTCGAGAGGTAATCAGCGCAAGATCGGAGTTTTCGAAAACCGAACTGGTTATTCGGGAGGACATGTTCAGATTCAAGCCACCAAGTAAAGCGGTTGGCAACTAGTTTTTCAAGGAGTTTGAGCGTGCAGAAGGCTAGGGCTATGGGGCGAAATTGGTTGGGGGAATTTTTTTAAAGAGGGAAATGAAGATATGTAGAAGGAAATTTTTGTAGAAGTCGGGGAGTTTTTTTGTAATGAAGTAGTCGATTTTGTCCAGACCAGGGGATGCTTTTAGTGGCGGTGAGGGCGTGTTTGAATTCATGAGGGCTGAATCCTTCTTGAAGAAAGGGGTTGCTTTGGAACGGGATGATTGGAGGAAGGCGGGGAATAAAGTCATGCGGGAGTTTGGGACAGAAATCGGAAATGAAATTTTGCATTTATTCTGCATTTATTCGGTATCTTATTTGGGGCTATTTGTAGGGTTGTATAGTGTAGACCAAGTTAATGGGGGTGTTTCTACTAGGGGATTCACAAAAGTTAGACTAGCCTTTTAATTTTTCCTTTCTAAGAGTGAGTTTGGTGAGGGCAGCTTTTTTTTGTATGCCAATGTAGTTGTCTAAATTAATGGATTTTCTGAAGAGGGATGTGGCTTTCCTCCTGAGGGCCACAGCATGTGAGCATGTTTCATTCCACCAGGGAGCTTGGGGAGAGGATCTGCGGTTAGATTTATTCAGGATTTTGAAAGGGTCTTTGGGTTTTGAATACGAGGCTTGGATTGCTGATATAATGAGATCAATTAAGGATTCGTATTTGAGTTGGGGGAGAGATCGGGGATATTATTAATTGTATATGCCATATAATACGGATATTCCATTGCAAGATTTTGAGTCCAGGGTAGACAGCATTAGCTGAGGTGGTAAAATTAATTGTGGGGTAGTCAATGCAGAGGGAGAGATGTTGGAAGGTGAAGAGTGACGAAACGATGTCTGCGAAGAGAGGTGACTAAGGTTGTTTACAAGGTTAGAGATATGAGCAACATGGTTGGTGAGGCCAAAGCGCTCAACTAAAGCAGCCAGTTTATGGAGGAAGAGATCAAGGTAGCTTCTAATTTGGTCAAGGACCTGAGAAAAAAGAGGGAACGAGTGGGGGCTGGTGGGGAGAATGTGTAATTATTGTAAGACGAGTAAGGTGGAGTAGTTTGCACCGTCAGATCATAGTTATAGGGATGACGAGGGGAGGGTTGGAGAGTGGGTGTCAATGGTTGTGTGAGCAAGGGGGTGTGCGAGATAGAGGAGAAATATTGAGAGTTACTTAGCTTAAAAGGTGAGGGGGCAGATACGCTCGCAGGCGGGGCGTTCTGGAGATTGGAGGAGATGACTTGTCTGGTTTAGGTATAAGAGATATCCTGCTGGGCAACGAATTTGTGAATGTATCTTTGCTTGGCTAGCTGGGAGCAGATATCATCGGTTGAGCCATGTTTCCCTCCACAGTTAATGCAGGGAGGCTCTTAATTGGCTTTAAGACAAGGGGAGTCTGAGGAGAGATTATGGTCAGCCTTGCCACAGTGATTGCAAGTCTGTTGGAGTGGTTTGGAGTGACCGAAACGGACGCAGTTGGAGCATCTATTAATTTGGGATGAGTAGCAGATGATCTGGAAGCGAATGTTGTATAAGGTTACGAACGTCGGAAGAATCTAACCTTTGAATTTCATAAGAATGCTAGTAGATGGAGACATGTGTCTGGTCCCATCGGGTAGGGATGTGAAGCGGTTACAGTGAGAGATTTCTTCAATAGGTACACCGCCGATAAGGTCTGATTGAAGATAAGAAATGGAGGTGTTGAGAGGAATATCATTTTTTGGCGGATTCTAAGGAGACTAGGATGGAGAAGCCGATTTTTCTGGTGCTGGAGAAGGAGCGGCTATGGCCTAGGTCATTTAGAATATTCTTAGGGATTTTCACGAGGTTGACTCCGTGAATGTTAGGGGTGTCTGGGGCAGAGTGTCAGCCTGGAAGAAGACTTCGAAAGGTTGGTTAAAAGACTTGGGAGGGGAGCGATCTTTCTGAAGTTCTTGGGAAATGAAGGGGCGTCGAGGTGAGCTTTTTGGGAGGATGGCTGGAGGGGAAGAGTCCTAGGTTGATTTTTCAGATTGAAGGGGGGAGACCTTGATTTTGGAGGATTGGTGAAGCTTTTTCTTCGTGGATTTAGGGAGGTCGAAATCTAATTTTTCGTCGGAGGATTCAAAGGTGCGTGTACCCAGAGCATTTTTATCCGGGATGCTCATTTCAGTGCCATTAACTGAAGGGAATGATAGATGTATAAGGGAGGAGGTGATCGAGTTTTGTGGAGAGAGTGCAGAGAAATTAGCAAAACTGTTTTGGGAAATATTCTTGAAAGTGAGGGGGAAGATGTTGTTCTAGAAGGCGTAATCAAGATACGCAGAACGTTGAGCAGATTCAACGAGAAATGCATCGTCGTGTGAGAGTGAGGGAGTGATTAGGTTGGTTTGAGGAGGGGAAGGGGAATTCTGGGAGAGGAATGGGTCATTGTAGATTAGTTCGCTGTTGTTGTTCTGTTGGTTGAGATCGTAGTTGAGTTCATTGGCAACGTTGACAGACGTTGATGTTGTCTACGTTGAAATTGGGGTTTGGTAGGTCTCCCATCGTAGAGACATTAGATCGCCTTGGCGGGAACGCCGACGAGGTTAGGGCGACGCGTGGCCAGGCCACGGTCTATTTGCAAGAGAAACTGAAGATCGATACTTATCGTGATGTAGATTCGGCAGGTCGAAGTGATCCAGACTGATGCTCGCCTAAAGAATAAAATAGGACACGGGATGATACTACTAGATTAGCAGGAATAGTAATAGCTAGAATGCGCGCACTGAGAAACACGTCCATACACGTTGGAGTGACGATCGAATGACACGAGCGACAGGAAAAGGAAGGGGATGTCGCCCGTGGGGGGCAGTCGATCGGAGGGAAATATGGGAGCGAAACGAAAACGCGACAGATTCTGACTAGGAAAAAACGAGAGAGGGGTAGCATGCGTGGAAAGACATTAGCTCCGACAAAATGAGCCATGAGCGTCACGGCCAGGAGGGGGGGCGGGGGGGGGGGGGGGGGGGGGGGGTATGGTAGGTAACTCCACAATGTAGGTACAACCAGATCAGGCACGAAAATAGATGCAATTTTCTCGAGATATTTAAATAATTTACAATCGCGAGTTTTCATTTCATCTTTTTCATACCAGAAACCGATTGTATCTTTTCTTGAACATAAAATATGGAAGTGAATGAATAGATTTTTTGTAAATCGAGGCGAAAACATCATCAGCTATCTTTTTTCATTAACCCAACACCCTTCAAAATTCCAGAATAATAAATAGTGGCTTCTGTTATCGGGGCAATACTTCTATCCAATAAAACTTGCTGGCTAGGGTGAGTATCGTCATTTCAAGTGCCCATCGAGATCCATGAACGTTTCACGTCTATCGCTTAGCTTTCTAGGCTGACAATTCTTTTTCTTGCTTGAAGGTTTTGAAGGTAATGCGAAAAGCGATTTAATGTACAGTTCTTCCCACTAAAATCGGTTACGTCGTACATCTCAGTTTATAGACCATATAAAAATAGCTTGCATACACTCGCCTGACTTCCATTAAGCCAAACGATTGTTTTTATTGAATTCCTATTTTCTTTAAAAATTTGGTAGTACAAAAGGAGTGTCGAATAACAGTCATAACATAAGAATATCCACATATTGTACGAAAAGTACATAAAAATTTGTACATTCACTGATTCAAGTGACAATATAGAATACAGTTTCATCACTCAAGGGACAACGGTAAAAAAATTCCCTTTCCATAACTAGTTAGATTTTCTAACCATCTTTAATGGATCTACCGAATACTTGGCAAAAATTTCACGCTTAAAAGGATCGAATTGTTTTCTATTGAAGATGTTTTGCCGTTCTCGCCATCCTGGGCGATTTTTTCTTGATTGCAATCCCCAGTGGACTGTGAAGACAGGTGACAGAACTTTGAATTGGTATCCTGCAACGAACATCTCGTAAACCTGGAAGAAAATTATAAATTATTTAATGGCTAGAACATGAAGGTCGCAAAAACGCCATAAAAAAATGTTCTGGAATATCCTTACAAAAATATCAACCAGAAGGCAAATTCCTTCGAGAACCATCTCAAAATGAGATGGAAAAATCGACCGAAACCGAGTGGCCGCCATAAAGCCACATAACAAAGCCATGATGACATGTCATGACATGACATTCATGACATTCATGACATGTCGTGAAAATAATCACACCGAAAGAGGAAAATCTAAAAATTAACCCACAAGTTCCAACTCATCCTCAGGGTGTTCTCCCCCTTCCTACTGTTCTCCTGACCATAATCCTCGCTCTCTACCACGCTATTTACCAAACTTCTCCTCACTTGTACGTTTCGCCTGACTCGTCACGAACTACTGCTTGACAACGCCAGTACAGCAAATGGATAATACTGACGTCAACATAAGATTTTCTTTCAAGAAAGAGAGTGGAGAACAAATTGATGTGGTGGCAGCTGGTTATCTACGCAAAACCTATACTGACGTCAGTATACGCATAACGAAAATGAGGCGCTCTCTCATTTGCTAGTATTAGTTCGCTTCCGAAACGCGGCGCCATTTAAGCTAGGGGCTCGGTCTCCCTGGAAGACGATGGTTAGCCCAATTTACCCTATCGAAAATCAGCTCGGACTGCCTCTCTCCTCTAATTTTTTTCGGATCGTCGTGGAATCTCGTTCCTTAATCATGTCTGCGTGTTCCTATCGAACATCCCCACATGTTCGTTATAATCCGAAAAATAAATCCAACGAGAGGAAGGCTTTCAGATGTCTCAGAAAAATCTTTTCATACAGTATATCTTGAAACGAGTTACGTTGTTTTCAACCGTTCAACAGTTATCTTAATGTCCAGACGAGGACCAATGGATACCTTTCTGTCCGAGGAATCGAGATTTATGAATTCATACGGCTTAACAATTTTGTTTTTTTTAAATTATATTGCAAAATGACATTGCTCAGGGACCCTAGAAAATATACAGTTAAATTATTGTGTCTAAACTTTCGCAATAGTTAATGAATTTTATTAGTTAATTCAGGCAATGTATTTTTTAACATTACTGAATTATCATTTTGGAAACTTGGATAAATTTGGTTCAGCCGATTAACAAGTTTAATGGTGAATATTTTGTTCAATTCGTGAGAAGCGGCGAGTTCCACTAGATTTTGATGGATGGGTAATTACCAATTCGATCGAGGCGTATTGTTAGCCAATCGAATGATCGGTAATAACCTCGTAAGTGAGATTTTGTCACGGCCTTCAAGAGAATTACTTTATGCTTGGGAAAGTCATATTTCCTATTTTCAACAAGATATTCCGACAAAAATTTTCTACTATCAACTCTTGTTCATATTAACAGGGCCATAATTTTCAGATCTTACTTTGTTTAGCGAGCATTGAGATTATAGCGTCCGTATCGACGCTTCAGTAATGTTGTGGTTCGATCCAATCTCTAAACGTTAATTGTATTGTGGATTTTGTGACTCAGAATAATTCCAATTTTTGTGAATTGTATTAGTTCTTAGATTATCACTTATGACTGAATTTATTGAGGGATGAAAATAAATCCCTATTTTTAGATTTTCTTTCACATTTTTTTAACTTTGTAATTTCAACAACATTTAATTTATTTTTAATTGATTAACCAAGTGGTCAGGGGTTGAAATTATATCAAGTTTGTCTTATTAATAAAGTGTGAACGATTAATTCAGATTTACGAAACTGGGTCCTTAAAGGTTTTATCAATTATCTGAACTAAGGAATAAATATTCGGTCTTAGCAATAAAATTTTAGAATTTATCATTAATTTGGCAATGCGATCATTTCATAAGTGTTTTTGAAGCAGAATTTAGAACCAGCCGTCTTCGTGGTTTATACTGAGTTGCCAGTTACTGTGCCTGTTGGCTTAGTCTAGATTTGTTTTTGTGCGTTTTAAGCAGAGATCGTACTGGCGCCTGACTTTTGTTTCTTTCGTTCGGTCGCCGAGAACTGCGAGTTCTGCGTCTTTTCCGCGAGAAAATGAATCGTATGAGCCTAAAGTTTGCGGACAAAAACTTTGTCACTGCATATCTCACAGTAAAATTGAGCAATTCCGAAATTTACAATTTCATTTCATTCAAGGCACAAAATTTTAATCGTGCCTGGAAATATATAAATAATGATTGAACCCTGTTTTATTGCGTAATTCACTCCTAACAGAATCAACATGACATATCTTAGTATACAACGGAATTTATTTAAAAAAAAAAATTGTCACGATTTCGATTTTGTGAAATCATGATGTGCTTTTTTTTTCTTTTTTCTACTCCTACCGCTAAAGATTTAATCCGCCGGCAAATAAGTGATCTTTGTCAAATTCTGTCCGGCGTATAAAAACCCTAATTCAAAAACTTGAAAATGTCACGTTTAGAGAAATGAAAAATCTTCTCGTGATTATTTTCATTTCTCGTCATAAATGCTAACTTCATGAGTTATGCATTGCTATTCCTAATTTTAAACAATTGAAATAGGATATCTTCAAAAAAAAATATGGTACTAAAGACGGAAATTAAATTAGACGATGAATTTTAGGAAAACCATAATGTGAGGTTAAATGGAAGATCTCTCATCGTTTCTTTCACTGAGAATATAAAAGTTACATACAACATCGGATAACTTTTATAAGAACCACAATATCTAAAAAAATACATACTCGATGATTCGTATTTTGCAATTTTTCTACGTGATCTTGTCTTCTCCCTTCTTAATAATTCAACTTGACAAAAATTTTCAAATAAAAAAATGGAGCTAAGTATCTACTGCGCCTGCGCTACCCTAATCCTACCACTACCCGGAGCGCTATTTACACTATTTCAAATACACCCGCGTTTCAAATACTTTTCAAATAATCCTTTCTTCTG